ATGGGGTTGACAAGGCCATTCACATTATAAGTTGCTGTTTTAACTGCCTGCATTCAGTGTATTATATATGAGAAAAGAAAAATGATGCAAACCAAAAACCCGCCACCCTAATGTCCAAAAGCGACTATATGAGTCATATGTTACCCCCCACGGACTGCAAAGAACAGCAGTAAAGAACAATGGAAACTGGCACAACACATAAAGCGCAATAAGAACAAGAAAAATAGAAAAAAAGACTTCCAACTGTGGGGTCCTGATATTGACCCTGATGAAGCCCTGATGGTAAAAGGGCTTTAAGGTAAAGCCTCCCCACCTGTGGGGTGTAGGAGGGCCTTCTTGCATGGTACTCTCCATGTCACCGCCGCTTATAGAGAACAGCAAAAACCCGACATTTGCATTATGATCCTAAATTTAAAGCCTATATAATGCTTCTTAATTTAACAGAACATGTTAATGCATTAATTTCCTCCTCCTCTGAGAGAAAGAGAGAGAAGAAAAAAAAAGAGAATAATAATTATAATAATAAATGTGAGGAAAATAAAGTCTCATCGAGCTCGCCTGTTAAACTCCGAATAGCAACAGATTTCAAGTCACTCACGGTTACCATGGGGTCTGGCGTTTAAAAGCCTGAAGTTTTTCCTTAAAGTCTGAAGGTCTCCCCGCTCTGTCCCGGTTCCCCGGTCTCTTGACGGTGCGCCACGAGAAGCGTTGGATCCGCTCCAGGAGCGAGTCTGGTTGTTTAATGACCGATACCGGGAATCCCCTCTTCGCCAAATCCCCCGTCGCCTCCCCCGCCGATTCGTACACCACAGCTTTTGCCTCGGCATACTCTCTTCGTTTTTTTCAGACATCCGGCGCATAGTCGTGATCCAAATTGACACGTTTTCCGAGGTGCTCAAATCCTCTCTTATGCCAGGCTGATCGCAGCAGCTCTTCTTTCATCCTGTAGCTGGACAACTTCGCAACTATGGACCTCTGTGATGCATCCCCCGGCGGCTTTGGCATCAGGGCGCGGTGAGCTCTTTCGACGCATAGCTCAACTGTGGCCAGGAGCTCTAAACCTTCCCGCAGCAGGCTTTCCACATACACAACCATCGATGGGGAATTATCCTCTGCGCCCTCTTTAACACCATGGATCCTGATATTTTCGCGTCGCGAGCGGCCCTCTAGATCCGTTAGCTTAGCATCCAGGTGTATCTGGAGATGCAGCAGCTCCTGTACCGTGTCATCCGCCACCTGTAGCCGCGTTTCCGTCTCGTTAATCCTTTTCTCCGCCTCTTCGATCCTTGCACTCGTCTTGTTAATTTCCTCCCGAACCACCTTCAGCTGATGACTGTTGTCCTCTCTGAACTCTCTCAGTTCTTTGTATCAGGCCCATAGATTCGCGCTCTCTCTTTGGCCTGCTTCAGGGTGAGTGAGCGTGTCCGCGTCGTCCTCCATTATGCTGCTAGCCGGGGAAGCAGCATAACTCCGTCTGCATTGTCCTCTTACTTTTCTTCATAGGCATTCTCAAGACCCACTAGCTTAAACAAAAGTTTAGATAGTATATATGTACATGTATACATTTTTTTAATATTCGGGTTTTAGTGGGTTATTTAGGCTAAAATTGTCGTGAGCTCGTTCTCTATGCCGCCATTCCCTGGCTCGTCAAACCGGAAGTCCTTGTCATTGCAAATAAGACACACCGCAGAACCTGTTCTCTCCACAAATCCTTCGTTCTAAAATGTGCCATACTCATCTTTTTTTTTTTCTTTTCATGAACTGCTTTGTCGAAGGGTTAGCTTTGAGCTCATGACCGAGCAGAGTGATTCAAAAGGAGGCGTTTACCTGTTTACCCAGCAACTGCCAAACTAGGCCAGTATCATCCAATTAAAATTGCTCCTGCTGCCAAGTGCAGCCCTGAACAGGACATAAGCAGTGAAAAATCAATGGTTGGATGAAAAAATTGAGAATATTGTTTTATCTGCGAGACAGATGCAATCATCAAAAGAGCCATAGGTTCTCAACCCCTGATTTAGAGCATAGGTGTCCAAGTCGTACTTAATTTTCCCAACCACCCACATCACTGCATTACCCTGAATTTGTATTAAATGCACGAATATGGGACACCCAGTACTATGTTTCCAAATTAAAACAGTTTGTGTTAAATCTTACTGTCCAGTTACAGTTGTCTCGCTACTCGCCAGGCCTTCTCGGCCGAGATTAATCCGATCTTAGCTTCCTCGCCTCGAACAAAGACAAGCCTTTCTCACCAACACATCGTTCAGCAGAGATCAACGGGTGAATTGCTTACTGTGTTCAAAAACAGTCAAGAAAAAAAATAACCGATAAAAATCAGATTTAAGTTGTTAATTGATTGAATGCTCTAATGCAGGGGTGTCAAACTCATTTTTGTCGCGGGCCCCATTGTAGTTACGGTTTCCCTTGGAGGGCCGTTATGAATTTTGTTTGTTTTTGTACTCCTCCCATTTTTCCCATCTCGTTTTAAACTTCCCTACTTGGACCCTTAATATGTATGTGAATCTTTCCAACTCAAATATTTCTCCCACTATTTCCAGCCATAGGTTCTTTGTTGGTGGGTCAGTTTTAAACCATGTTCTTGTTATGGCTTTCTTGCTGGCAGCCAGCAACACTTTTACCAAGTACTCGTCTCTCGTTAGTACACTTCCCTGATTATATTGCCCAGATACATCACTAAGCCGGTCTTTGGTATTTCATAGCCGATTATCTTCTTCAGTTCTCTCCAAACCTCTTCCCAATAACCTTTATGTCTTTGGTATTTCAAAGTCGATTATCTTCTTCAGTTCTCTCCAAACCTCTTCCCATTAACCTTTTAGCTTTTGACATTTCCAAAATATGTGTGCATGATCTTCAGATCTCTCCTGTCCACATAACCGCCAGCACTCATTTTGCCCTTGTTTGTATTTCTCGGTCATCTCTGGGGTTATAAAAAATCTCATGATATTTTTCCACCCAAACTTCGTCCAACGTCTCGAAACGGTTGTTGATTGTTGTATCCTGCACATATTTAACCATTCTTCCTCCGTTATCTCGGTTTGGAGTTCCTTTTCCCATTTCTGTTTTACATACAGAGTCGAATTCCCTCTGTTCAACAGGAGCCCTTTGAAAAGGGATGAAATGATGCTACTCTTACCCCCGTTATATGCATCTATCATTACCTGTATTACATCATGTCTTTCAGTTGTCGTATCCATTTTTATTTCTGTTGTGTAGTAGTCTCTCACTTGTAGATACCGGAAGAGGTCGCTCTTTTCTAAATCAAACATCTCTTTCATTTTTTGAAAGGTCAGCATCTCCCCCTTTTCTATCATCGTACTTATTGCTGTGAGGCCTTTTCTTTCCCATTTCTTGAAACCATAATCTTTCCCTGGTTGAAAGTCCTCATTGTGTGATAGCCACCTTAGGATTTTCACCTCCTTTTGTAATTTATTTTCTTTTACTATGGTGAACCACGTATTTAAAGTGAATTTAGTTATTTGATCTATCAAGCCCTCCTTTTCCCGAAATAATCTTCTGTCCCCCAGCAGTGTTTGAGTCAGGTATCCCTCGGCCATCACTTCAATTTCTTTCCATTTTGCTTTATACTCTCCGTTTCACCAACATGCTACTGCTCTGAGCTGTGCTGCACGGTAGTAATCCTTAAAATTCGGTTCCGCCGATCCTCCCTTCTCCTTGGGCAACTGTCGTGTCGTCGGTCTGATCCTCGGTCGCTTACCCCCACAGATAAATCTTGAGGTCAGTTTATCCATTCTATAAATTGTTTCTGTGGTATGGGTATAGGTAGCGACTGATAGAGGTATAGCAACCTCGGCAGAATGTTCATTTTGACCATTTCGATTCTAGAGCTTAAGTCTAAGACATGTGTTGACCATCTCCCAAGGTCTGCTTTGATGGTTTGATTAATCTTTGTGTAGTTTGTTTCAAACAAATTGTCCATGCTTTTCGTGACATACACTCCTAGGTATTTTACCGTCTCACTGTCCCATTTTACTTTGTATTTTCCCTTCATCAACTTTGATGGTGTGTAGTTAAGTGCTAGGATCTGTGTTTTTGTCACATTGTCTATATCCTGAGTAACGTTCATATTCTTCCAGTTGTTCCATCAGTTTCGGGAAGCTCTCTTCCTGTTGTGTTACGTATGCTATCAGATCATCGGCAAACAGGCTCAATTTGTGTTCTGAGCCGCTCAGCTCCACGCCTTTGATGTTGTGATTCTGTCTGATTGCCTGGGCTAGAGGTTCGATGAAGATATTGAATAGTGTTTGTGAGAGGCAACATCCTTGTCTAGTTGATCTTTCAAGTGTTATTCGGTCCGTCAAGCTGCCATTCACCTTCACTGTTGCAGTCGACCCATTATACAGTGTCTGTACAACTAATCGAATCTCTATTGAAGCTGAATTTTTCCATGACTTTATATAGATAGACCCACCGCACACTATCAAATGCCTTTTCTGCATCCAGGCTCACCAACACTGCACTCGTTCCTGTCTTCCGAATCGCCTCCACTATGTGTAAAGTTTTCCTTATATTATCCTGGGCCTGTCTACCTTTGACAAAACCCGTCTGGTCTCTAGCTATAATTTCCGGCATGAAAGTCTCGAACCTTTTGGATATGATTGAGGTATAGATCTTATAATCGACGTTAAGTATGGATATTGGTCTGTAGCTACTACATAACTCTTTATTTTTGCCTTCTTTGGGGATTAAAGAGACAATTGCCTCTTTCCATGATGGGGGAATCTTGCCCTCCTTCATGGTATATCTTAGTGAAGGGGACGTAGTTCCTGTCTAAATATCTTGTAGAACTCTGAGGGGAAGCCATCACTACCCGAAGCTTTACAATTTTTTGTTCCACTGATTGCGATCGCCAATTCTTCTGCAGTAATTTCAGAGTTCAGAAATTCATTATCTTCTTCCCCTATTGATGGTAATTCCAGACCCTCTAAAAATGTTGTAATACTCTCTTCATCTGCTGCATCCGGTTGTGTATATAGTCTTATAATACTGCTCAAATGCTTCCTCTATTTCCTTTGGTTCTTTTAATAATTCATTAGTTCTGGGGCACCTAATCTTATGAATTGTGTTTAATGCTTTTTGTACCCTTAACCTTCGTGCTAGTAATTTACTTGCCTTGGATCCACCTTCATAGTAAACCTGTTTCACAAGCCGTGCTCTTTTTTCCACCTCCGTTAATAATATTCGATCCACTTCCTTTTTAGTTTCTGTGACCTTCATCATTATCTCTGTGTAATTTGTTCTTTTATGCTGATCTTCAAGTTCTTTCAGTTGTCTTGTTAGGTTTTTATATGATTCTTGTCTTGTCCTTTTAAGCCGTATTGCATGTGCTACAAGTTTTCCTCTTATTACTGCTTTCAGAGCATCCCACACAATATTTGGGTTAACTTCTCCATTGTCATTTTCTTCCCTATATTTGACTATATCTCCCTTTATTTCTTGTACCAATTCCTTATTATTCAATAAACCTACATTCAACCTCCAAATTGTACTTTTCCTTCTACTGGTCAATTTCACTATACACACACATATACACAGCACTGTGGTCTGACAAATCTGTGACACCTATTCTGCATTCTTCCACCCTGTGTCTATCCTCCATCTTCATGAAAAGTAGTCTATTCTAGCATAGGTTGCATGTGGATGAGAGTAATGTGTGTCGTCTCTATGTAACTTGTGTACATCCCTTCATACATCGATTATCCCTAGTTGTTTTATTTGTGTGTTGATGTACTTGGTTATATGTATCCTAGACTTCCTTGTGCTTGTTGTATCTAAGTCATGGTTAAGTCCCCTCCGCATATCAAGATCCCATCCATTTCCACAGCCATGACATTGAAAAGGTCTTCAAAAAAGTTCCTTTCACTATCTGGTGGAGCATATACATTGATTAATGTGACCTTCTCGCCTTCCATCGTCCCCTTGACCACTATATACCGCCCTTCTCGATCTTTTATCTCTTTGTCAATTTCAAATTTCACTGAGTTTTTCATTAATATAGCCACGCCTCTGCTATGGCATTCTTAAAATGAACTACAGCATGTATTTGTGTACCCATACCTTTTCAATTTTTCTTTTTCTTGTGGCATCAGGTGTGTTTCTTGTAAAAAAATGACCTGCATATCCTCCTTTCTTAATTTTGTTAACACCTTCCCCCTCTTGACTGGGTTGTTCACGCCATTCACATTTAACGACACCACCTTAATGTCTTGCTGAACCATAATTCTTTTTGGAATATCCTGTTTTTACCCACATGTTACAGATCACAACATATATATTAAACACTGTAACCGTAAAACATAAAAAATTGTCATCATCAATCAAAAATTGAACTTCCAAAGCATTTAGGGATTCCCTTTTCATATCCCCTTTCCCTTGTTGGTGGGTGTGGGGTAGAGCCTCTCCTAGTGAGAGGGCCCCCCTCGTGGCAGAGATCATCTCCAGTGCTGATCTCCCAAGCTCACTGCAAAAGCCCAACAATTCAGTTCAAGAGCTCCCCGGCCGGAGCTTTGTAGATTTCTAAGCATCCTTTAACCTTCTTCAGTGGATTGTCTTGGGAAAAGAAACCCCGCCTATCAATCAAATTACGTTGCTCTATACAGTATATCCTTAGTCTACACCCTAACATTCAGAACCTGTCGACAGATTTCTAATTATTTCGACTCAGAATTAATCCCCCCTTCAAATACTTTTAACAGCATCCCCACATAGAATTTGTTCTTTACTCACCAACCGTTGAACTAGGAAAATTAAAGAAAGTTGTGTGGATTCCAAAAGTCCTTTGAAAGCAACTGCATTCCTGTCCGAGTTCTTTGTTCCACTGCTTTTGTCCTTCATTCTCCTCGTGTCATCCAAATTTTCTCACGTTTATCTCTTGGTCTTCGTCCACTTGCGTGCTGCCTCCAGTCTCTGTTGCGTCGTCGGGTTCTCTTGTCCAAGGCTCGGCACCTGCCACCCTCTCACCCGCAATCGCCTCCGCCGCCTCCTGAGCGCTGTTGTATATTTTCACTCCTTCAGTCCAGTGGACCATCAGTGTGTCCATCAGGGATTGAAACCTAATTCTCTTCTCTTTTAGAATTTTTTTAAGGCCAGCATACTCTCGACGTTTAGCTGCCACTTCTGTCGTGTAGTCATGGTCAAAGGTCACTCTGTTTCCCTCCACTTGAAGTGGCGTTCGCCAGGCCGTCTTGAGTACGTTTTCTTTGATGTTGAATCTCAGGAAGTTTACGATCATTGCTCGTGGTGGTTTGTTTAATTGTGCTTTTGGAGCGAGCGCTCTGTGTGCCCTTTGTATCTCCAGCTGAATATCTTCGGATATTCCCAACTCTTTATGGATAAGCTTATCAACATAGTCAGTTGTGGAGTCTCCCTCGACCCCCTCTTTCAGTCCCCAAATTCGGATGTTGTTCCTCCTCGACCTTCCTTCCAAGTCGGCCACTTTCTGTTGGAGCTTCCTTTGATGTTCGAGTGAGACAGTGAGAATTTCCTGTACCTCTGTACTCCATTCCTCCACTTCATCTGCCCTTTCTTCCAGCGTCCGGATGCCAGCATTCACGGATTCCAGCTTTCTATTAGTTTCCTCCCGCAAGTTTTCAAGTCCTTGTTTCATCTCCTCCATTTGTTTGACGATTCTGTCCAACTTGACGTCTAAATGGTGTTGTCCCGTGTCCATTTTGGTTCTTATTTCTCCGAGTCCGCTCTGTAGATTAGCCTGTAATGCCGACGCCCAGCCAGGTTGTTTATCAATGTCGCGAGCTAATGCTGTTAACATTAGCCGCTAACGCCGGTCCCCCTTCCTCTTCGTCGTGTGTGTTTTCAGTCTGTTTCACGCTCTTCTTCTTCTCCTTTCCCTTTCCAGACAGAGCTTTGTTCATATCCATCTTATCCTATGTTTGGGTCGCAGCCTCCGTTCTTTTGTCGTTTTTTTCTCCGTTTTTTGCTCGTACGGCCGGGAGCTCCCGCGTTTGCAGCTTACCCTCTCGCTGTCATACCGGAACTCCTCAAAAACAGGTTTAAAAGTCAAGAAAAAAAATAAACGATAAAAATCAGATTTAAGTTGGTAAATTGATTGAATTCTCCAATGCAGGGGTGTCAACTCATTTTTGTCGCGGGCCACATTGTAGTTCTGGTTTCCCTTGGAGGGCCGTTATGAATTTTGGGAAACCATACAAATGTTTAATCCCCTCCACATATTGCATACACAGCGCACAACAAATTTATGAATAACTAGTTTTAAAATTAGAAGTCAAGAATCATGACTGTTACTGTGGATTATGACAATTTGAAATTTTGGTTCAGACTTTACCAAGCAAC